AGAGAGAGAGAGAGAGAGAGAGAAAAGGAAAAAAACCTGTCTTCTGAAAGTCCTTGTACATATATGTCTTCTACTCTAGATACCTGAAGAGGCATTATTGCACTGAATTAAAGGTCGAGCCCCCTACTTCATTGTGCGCCAACAAGAACCTGTACAGCATATGAACATTTTATGGAAAGATCAGAGCAAATGCTGTCTGTAAGACTTCTGTCTTTATCACTCAATTGCAAATCAAATATTAGAAAAATTATTACATGCGATAATCAAAAGATCTGAGTCGGCCTATTTAATATAGGAAGAAATAAAATACATTTTATTCTCCTCAGTTAAATTACTGGAAAATTCTTGCATCTTTCGCTGCTCTTTTCTTTCCATCTGCAAAATTAGTATCACGAAGTGTTCTCATTAAAACTCACAAAATAGAAACAATAGATTTACAAACTTTCGAAAATTCGAATGAAATAAAAGGAATATTTATCGCTTGATAATAATAAATCTAACATAAATTTGTGCGACTCAGTTATTAGGAATAACTAGTAATTAAAATATTATTAACATCCTAATAGCTTTAACACATTATTCCCATATGTTTAATGGCAATAAGATTATTCCACACTATAAAACACTGCCATAATTTCAACTATTGTTATATTGCTTTTAAAATCCTGCCAAATAATATTATCAGGTTAAATGTTGTAATATATCAAAAACACATTCTTCAGGGCTTTCTTCAAAACATTAGAAACTTTTTAACAAAGAACAAAGTTTCATTACACATTGTAAAAACAAATCAAGAAAGATATATACATTTCTTTTTTAGGTTCATAACAGGATATCTGGATTTGTTGCTTAATTATGAGAACATTTCTAATGTGAATTACAGAAATCAACAAATAATATCAGAAATTAACAGATAACAATTAAATGTTAAATGCTAGAAGCTTGTTCATTGAATTCTATGCATAAAAAAAAATGTCTCAATTCACAGATCAAGGTTCCTATTATCCTTGAAATTTATTTTTTCAACAATTACAGCGGAACTTTGTACATTGTGGAGATTTACTAGTAAGCCTCTCTTGACTGCATAGAATGCAATGCTAAAAAAGAAAAAAAACGAAAACTAAAGCTCAACATACTTCTGTACTGCTTTTTCATTTTGCCAAGAGTAAGAGTAAAAACTACCAAGATTTAATTTATAAGTCTATACCAAGGAATAATCAAATTAAAAAGATCTTCGATTTGGTAGATCAATCATTACTTACGTTACATTAAAGTTGCTCAAGCCACTACTTAAACGTAACGCGTACAACTTTAAGGAAACGAAGTATGCATTGAAAAAAATCACGAAGTAGGAAATTACACGAAGTAGTTGTAAAATTAAATTATAGAGTTTCTGTTTACGACGGTGACTTGTTGGCGTACGGTATTAGGTTAGGTTCCTCGTAACCTACCTCGTCTCTCTTGTTACGCCTACTATTATATTGTTATTGTTGAAAACTCCATATTAATAAGAAATAAATATATTGTCTCAAAATGAACGTCGTCGCTGGTTCCTTTCGATCTCGCTGAAACTCTTGGCAACATCAACCTATAACCTCGTCTCACGACTCTTATATAATTAATTCATGAATATGCAACGAAAAATCCGTGATTGTCATTGTTGTTTATACTTGCAAACCTTTCCAACAACCTTTCCAATATTTATCTTTCAACTTTGCCAAACCATGTAGAACGCAAGTGTACACACATAACCTAACAAACATTTGAAAAACATTAAAGGGATCTCCGGGCGAGACAATGCGAGCCAGAGAATTTACCGGACGTGTTGGTTTAAAGATGCATGAACGGTCTCAAAGGTAGGTACCGAAGTGGATAGTTATCTATGTGCTTGATCATCGCAGCGAAATAAATGCAAGTCATTCGCGTCATCTACGATCACGAGTGTTGTGCCTCACGGCCAAACTTTCGCTTGTATTTGTTTCGTGCGCAGCCACTCGTGTGGTAACTATATACTTAGACACTGTTTCACTTATTACCTTATTATCGTGGCACGACCGAATTGCTCGCGATTATAGTGGCATGTAAATACAGACGTGTTCCGCTGTTGTCTTCCAACAGTGATTGTTTCTTTGCCTCACGTATCCGCGGTCTTTGCCGCCCAAATTCTCACAAACATGCATATGAAACGCTGATATATATATTACCGAGCATGGGTGATACGTACAGTTTTCATTCAGAAGCCGATTCTGAGTAACAAAGAACAATCTTTATCAACGTCCTTAAGCAACGTGTTAGAACAAGCGTTGAGAACGTATGGAAAAATAGTGAGTACGCACAGAGAATCAGTATCAATGCCCATCTTGGATAACGGCGAACTTGTCAACGCACAGGATTCTCTAAAAGCACGTGCAAATGGTAATTTTCACGGTTGACGTGAGCCGATATCAACATTATATTTGCCAGTATCTAGTGTTTATTCAATACCTGAGTGATATCGAGCGCATTCGATGAATTAATTGGCGATTCAGCCCTCCAAATTATGATTGCTCAGTTACATCTCCTCTCCCCCTCTTAATTTATTTATACATCAGAGAATTTATCAAGATTGCGAACTTTCTTCGTAATTCGTTCGTATTTTGTCTATTTTACCAACGGTTCCTCGATAATTTCAGTAAGTACAACGATTATTTTGTTCTTGAAATATGACTTACGTATGAAGTTCTGTTTATTTGATCTACTGTTACTAAGTTTGATTCTTTCGTAGGTTATTTTAATGGATGAGGAGAATTGTTGTATGAAAAAAGAAGCTCCTAGCAGCTTCCAATCCAAGAATGTTGGATCTAGTTCTTCATTTATGATCGAAGGTGAAAGTCTGGATTCTCCAGAAAAACATGGAGATCTTGGTGACATGACTTTTTATATGGCAAATTATATTAAAGATGCTATGAAGATGATGTTCATTATGCGTAGTCATCATATGCTTACCGATGTTATTCTAGAAGTAGAATCAGAGTTGTTCTATGCACATAAAGTCATCTTAGCTGCCGCTAGTCCATATTTTAAGGTAATTCATCTTTTAAATACACAAGAGATATATATCAGATTAGCAAAAAATTACATTTCCAAAATATTCTAGGCAATGTTTACAGGAGGCTTGAAAGAATCTGAAATGTCTAGGGTAAAACTTCAAGGTGTTAGTCCAACAACAATGGCACGTTTAATGTACTTCATGTATACTGGTCGCATAAGAGTGACAGAGATTACAGTGTGTTCCCTTTTATCAGCTGCCACCATGTTTCAGGTATATAAAAAATAAGCATATTCTCTAAAGTATACATCACAATGTTTAACAACACTTAGTTACTTTCACATCTATGGTACAGGTTAGTAATGTTATAGACGCGTGTTGTGTATTCTTGGAAAGACAATTAGATCCCACAAATGCTATTGGAATTGCTAATTTTGCTGAACAACATGGTTGTCAGACTTTGTGTCAGAAAGCAAATCAATTTATTGTTCAACATTTTAGTCAAATATGTCAGGAAGAAGAATTCCTACAATTATCGGCAATACAATTGATAGCACTAGTAAGAAAAGATGAACTGAATGTGCAGGAAGAGAGAGAGGTATACAATGCAGTGTTAAAATGGGTTAAGTATAATGAAGAAGCCAGAGGACCTAAAATGGAGCATATATTGCATGCAGTAAGATGTCAATATCTTACTCCTAATTTTCTTAGAGAACAGATGAAGAATTGTGACGTTTTGAAAAAAGTACCTGCATGCAGAGAATATCTTGCGCAGATCTTCAAAGATTTGACACTTCATAAAAAGCCGGTGGTGAAAGAAAGGACACCAAATACTCGAAGAGTCATATACATAGCTGGTGGTTTTTTAAAACATTCTTTAGATGTACTAGAGGGATATAATGTAGATGAAAAAACTTGGACTCAACATGCTAAACTAATTGTGCCAAGATCTGGTTTGGGTGGAGCATTTTTAAAAGGGATGTTTTATGCTGTTGGTGGAAGGAATAATTCACCAGATAGCAGGTAAGTTTTTTAGAAACGATAATATTAAGAAATTAAACTCAAAATTTTGAAGATTTCCTATAAATTTGCAGATACGATAGTGACTGGGTTGATAGATATAATCCAGTTACAGATCAATGGAGAGCTTGTAGTCCAATGTCTGTTCCAAGGAATAGAGTAGGCGTAGCTGTTATGGATGGATTATTGTACGCTGTTGGAGGTAGCGCGGGTGCAGAATATCACAATAGCGTTGAATGTTACGATCCAGATCATGATTCTTGGAGTAACGTAAAATCAATGCACATCAAGAGACTGGGAGTTGGAGTGGCTGTAGTTAATAGGTAAAACTTGCAAATTATTTAAATCTTAAAATTTAAATGAAATTGTATCTATATAATTGAAATTATAACAGATTACTTTATGCCATTGGTGGATTTGATGGAACAAACCGGCTGAACTCCGTGGAGTGTTATCACCCTGAAAATGATGAGTGGACAATGGTTTCATCTATGAAATGTAGTCGATCAGGAGCAGGAGTAGCCAATCTTGGACAATATATATACGTAGTAGGAGGATATGACGGAACAAGACAATTAAACTCTGTTGAAAGATATGATACGGAAAGAGACATGTGGGAACATGTTAGTAGTGTCACTATTGCTCGTAGTGCGCTTAGTGTTACAGTACTAGATGGAAAATTGTATGCGATGGGTGAGAATCCGAAAATACTTATTTACAGATTGAATCTTATTTGCATTTTTAATCTTATCAATTAATTTTTTTGTTTTCTAATTTTAGGAGGATACGACGGTGAACATTTTTTAAACATAGTTGAGATTTACGATCCTGCAAAAGATACATGGGAACAAGGAGTACCAATGACTTCGGGAAGATCGGGCCACGCAAGTGCGGTATCCTACCACCAATGTCCTATTCATTGCGATCATTTGGACCATAATATGTCTCTAGAAAAGCCACCATCGTGATATATGTAATTGTTGGGCGTTAACTTAGATATTAATATATAAACGAAATTCTTAATCTGAGGGAATGAATAAAAGAAGCAAAGGAAAAATAATGGAAATAGTTGTTCAAGCAGTGAATAAGTGACAGACTGATAATTATTTTTGAGTTGTGGTTTAAATTCAGTTCTGGAGATTGAACTTCATTAACATTCTATAATTTTATTGTGGACGATATACGATTAATATACGATATGTATGTGCTTTTATAAAATAATAGGAATCTTATTTATATATATACAATCTTATACATATATATGTATGTTATATAATAATATACATATATATATATATATATTATTTTTAAAATAATACTTTTATAAAAAAATCTTTCTTATTTCAATTATTGTACATTTGTATATATTATTAAAGCAATATGACATACACATACACATGTGCGCAGGTATGTATACAAATGTAAAATATCTACTAATTCGTGACGATTTTTAATTTTATTAATTACCTTGCCTAATTATTGTGAAGAAACATTCAACTGAGAAATACAAATGTTTTGAAAGACTTAATTAAGAAAAACGAAATATATATATATTTAAAATATTATCAATATTCTTTTTAATAATAAAAAAAAAAATGAATTAATTAAAATATGATAGAAAATTATTTTTATTAAATTTAGCTTGAAGACACCAATTTAATGCATTTATGTCATTTATAATAATTCTCCAGTCCGAAAATGTATGTGAGAGTTAAAAAAACTGGTTCTGTTGTCAAGATGAACCACACTGATCGATATTTTCGAAAGTGTAGATGCTCCGACTATTAAAATCTACCTTTGTACCTTGTACAGCAACAATTATTAAATTCCAAAGATAGTTGACAATTTTTTAACAGTTTCATTGTAAATAATACCCCCATTGTGTCTAAAATATTCAGTGTTTATCTGCTAGTGCGGTGATTTTACGTGAGGTTATGAACATTGTAATTATTTAATAATATTTATCTAAATGATAAACGATATATAAGATCATGAAAACAACAAATTTTTTCGCAATAATTTCCACTGACTGTAATGCAACAAAAATTCGATGGACTACGTGAAATTCAACAAAGTACAACGATGAAATCTGTGTATAAATTGTTTTTTCTGTGCCTTATCTTCACAGTACTGATAATATTACTTAATTTAACAAATTTCTCCAATAAAGTTTACGATGCACCTACCAAAGAAACCATTGCTGTTTCTACAACTGTTAAAAAGTTTCAACCACCCTTCATAATGGGAGAAGTGACAATTTGCGTGGTAGTTTGTGGAGATAGAGTAGATGAGGCATTAACCATGCTCAAGTCTGCCATAGTTTTTACACATAGATCTTTGCAGTTTGTTATTCTGGCAGAGACTAGTTTAATTCCTGCTTTTAATGAGAAATTAGCAGAATGGAAGCTTCTCTCAAACAAGACTTTTGATTTCGTTGTCAAGCCTATTACATTTCCTGAAGGCAGTGACGCAGCTATGTGGAAGAAATTATTCAAACCTTGTGCAGCTCAACGGCTATTTCTTCCGGTAATTCTATAAAATCAAATTAAGTAGAAAGAAATAAGGATCATTGCATGTATTAATTTCATGTTTCAATATACGGTTCATTTGTTGCAGTCAGTATTAAATGATATAGATGCTGTTCTTTATGTGGACACGGATACACTATTCTTAGCTCCACCAGAAAAAATCTGGGATGAGTTCAAGAAAATGAATTCTAGCCAACTAGCAGCTCTAAGTCCGGAACATGAAGATCCCAATACAGGATGGTACAACAGATTTGCCAAACATCCTTATTATGGAAAGCTGGGTGTGAATTCCGGAGTAATGTTAATGAATCTGACGAGGATGAGAGAATTCAGATGGATACAGTATGTGATACCAATTCACAAGGAATATAAATTGAAGATAACGTGGGGAGATCAAGATATAATAAACATTATATTCCATTACCATCCTGAAAAGCTGTATGTCTACTCTTGTAGATACAATTACAGACCCGATCATTGCATGTATATGCCTGTCTGTACAAAGGCAGAGAAAGAAGGTGCTTTGGTTTTACATGGTTCTAGAGGCACTTTCCATTCTCAAAAGCAGCCTCCTTTTAAGGCAATTTATAGAGCCATGCAAGAATATCAGTTGAATACAGATCCCTATGATTATTTATTAGTGCCAATGAGAAATTATTTAGCCTTGGAGCATAAGTCAAATTGTGGCAAAGTGTGGAAAGTATTTATTATCCAACCTGAGTTACACTTAGGACAACAATAATATTTAAACGTATCTTCTAACATACAAAGAAAAAAACATAATCAATATAGTACTTCCTCTTCAACCTGTCATTAAAACAAACTGCTACACGATATTTAACACACAGTACAATATGAACAATTCTATCCATATGTAAGCTCACTATGTTCCATAGTGCATCCTGATATTATTTGTTAACAAGTGCGCTGTGATTGTTACTATTTAACATAAAAATGAAAAACAGGACCATGTTATTATAATTATTAGCTAAGATGATTTCGATAATACTCTTTGAATGTAGCTTTAGGTGAAATTTTTAGAATTATTTTGTATACTTAAAACTCGATGTAAGTCACTTCTACGAAATGTTTACTATCATTAAGTGAAACGTATATTGTTCAAAAATGTTTTTATAAAAATCGTACGCGACGGCATTACTTCGAATGCAAAATACTTTTGTACACTTCGTTATTTTATTATCCCGTAATATATGTTCTTGTGATACTTTTTTTACATTAAATAAAAAGAATCGTTTAAACCTAACAGAGTGCCATTCTACCAACGAACGGAGTCACGATAACACGCGCTATAGTAGTCTGACTTTTTGAAGAGAGGGGGTCATTACGTTGAAAGGGTCCCGAATAAGGGAGCTGCAGTGCGGAGATACGCTCTTACGAGTTACGGTCACTCGCGTGAAATTGTGTTTCCAAGTATCTTAATATTGTATTTCCTTCCTTCTTTCGTTGCGAATTTCAACAATTGTTCAACTTACTTGGAAGATCCCGGTATGAGATCAACCATCTATAAGAAGCTTTAAAACGAGAAAGAGAAGGAAGATGGTATCTATGATCTGCAATGAGGCACGACGTATAACCAATGAATTAGCGTCCTGATAACGATTACATGGGCGTTATTAAAACTGATAAGAATAAATTATAGATCAGGTAAATCGAGAAATGGTACACGTCAGACATGAAGAGCTTTGATGTTTCTTTTCCATGTTAATTTCCACTCACGCCCGCACGGTAACGTCGTTCTCTACTTCGTCCCAGAGCAAAGGTAAGAGGATCTAGCGGTTGTTTGAAGAAGAGTACATATTGATCTTTGATCTTTCAAGTGTGAAACATGAGATACAAACTGCAGGTTGGATATGTTAATTCTTGTATAAGCAGCTACTCGAGCGAGTAACACTTGAATGAAATTAATAACTATAAAAATTGCCATACGAGTTAATTCATTAAATCAGTACAGTACCACCTTCCAGTGGTTCTCTTCTCTCATAGATCAGTTTCACTATTGTTACATTTTATATTATATTATTCTTTATCTTATTACTTTGAACTTATGATCTAAGTCTAACTGTTTTCAAGTTCAAAAGTTATTACATGAACTGTCTTATTTTTAATTGATCTCTTGATAAAATTCTTGATATCTGTGTTGCGATTGTACATGAAATAATCACGTTATCGAGTCAAAATGAAATTTTTTGCTCACCTGAATATTTGTTAAAATACTTGCTCGCATTTGTATTATCTCATTGAACTGCCTTTAGAAATTCCATTTTTTTTTCATTGTCTTCTAATTCATCCTTCTAATTCATCTCTTTTTATTTTCATCATTTTATCTCGAATGTACGTAGATATTATAACGTAAGTGAGTTCCTGGAAACATATCAATAATCAGAAAAAAACACTTGATGATTTCAATAATTTAGAGGAAACGTGGAGATAACGTGGAGAAGAATTTAAAAATAAAACGACAAAAAAGAACGGAATAACGCATAAACTAATAAAGCATAAGTAGAAAAATCTAAGAATAAAAAATCTAAGAGTAAAAAATACTGAGAAATTTGCATTGAACTTTATACATTGATTTGTAAGAGATAGAATGATAAGTAAATTTGA